ATAATAATAATAATAATAATAATAATAATAATAATAATATTCCATTGTGTTTAATGGGACTTGAACATCTACAAGTGCAAAATGTGGTTTTTACACAAAAATCTCCTTTTTCGTGCTTTTTAATGCCAACATTGGCAATCTTGAACAAAGAACCTATGTGGTTATCCAGAACAGTTTTGTGTCTGTGTGGAAGATGTGCTTGTTCCTGCAAAAAGGCACTTTCCAGAAAGCCACCTGGTGATTTTTGGTACAAGGTTGCTGGGTTGTGTGCAAACACCCCCCCCACCCGCCCACCCCCTGCAATTTTGCATTTCACCAAGTGTGCCTCCTGGGCCAGAGTGGTTGTGTGTCCCACCGCTATCACAGACACTTTCTCTTTCTAACTTGTGTTCTTAGGCAGCTTACCTGTTTAATTGTTGTTTTTAACTTTTGCATTCATAACTTTTTTTAGCTGTGTTTTAACATGGTGAACAACTGTCTTTATGCCTTTACAGGATATAAAATAAGTAAATAAATTTTGTGCATTCAAGAAAACCCTCCTCATTTTTTGGTACAAAGCCCCATGGTTTTCACACACACACACACACACACACAAATGTGCATTTTGGCATGGGGAAAGAAAAACTTTCCAGGATGTGCAAATAGCAGGCAAGAACAGCACAGAAATATCCATTTTCTCCCAGAAGGGAGGAATCTGCTGAAATGATTCATCCTCACACTTCAGGGCTGCATCTGCACTACAGAATTAATGTAGTTTGACTCTGCTTTAAGTGCCATGACTTCATGCTATGGAATCTTGGAATTGGTAATTTCTTGGGGCACCAGAGCTCTCTGGCATAACAGGCAAAATATCTCTGCGGATGATGTGTGTAGTGGCATCACAAGGGTTGTGTGGACCGCACCAGGTGACACCTTAAAAGGGGGTGACACTACTGCTCCTCAAAGACCTACCTTTTGGCAGAAATAGGCTGTGGCATCCATCTGCTTCCCTTTAAAATGCTTTAAGTAAGAGATGGTGGGAGTGGGGTGAAGCTCAGTGGGAGGAGAAAGGAGAGGGCCCAGAATTTTAAAATTTCAAAATGTTATTATTTTTAAAAAATATTTAAAAACATCACATTTTAACCCAGTCTTCACTATGCATATGCAAATACATTAAAGTTGTGCATATGATATTGCAATTTAAAGATATACTTTTAATTTTGCTGGTTGTTTATGTCACTTCTATGAGCGTTACATTCTATGAGTGATATATGGGATTTACGAGTAACATTAGGGCAAAAAAGCATTGCTAAGGATTCTGTATGATGTGAAATGGGAGGAGGTCAATGGAGGGAGTGACACCAACCCTAGGGATGCCACTGGACGTGTGCCTTGAAGTCGAACCTATGGCAACCCTAAGGTAAACCTCATGGGCTTTTCTTGGCAAGATTTGTTCAGAGCAGGTTTGCCATTGCCTTCCCCTGAGGTTGAGAGTGTGTGACTTGACCAAGGTTACCCAGTGGGTTTAATGGATGAGCAGGGAATCAAACCCTGGTCTCCAGAGTCATAATCCAACACTCAAACCACTACGTCACGCTGGCTCTAGAAATCCCAGAATTCCATAGCATTAAGCCTTGGCGGGTAAAGCGGTGTCAAACTGCATTATTTCTGCAGTGCAGATGCAGCCTATGATAAGATATTTGAATGTTTGCATCGGTAGTGTAGAACCCACCATCTGGCTTGTACTGAGCAATGATTGTGACCGTCTGTCCGGCGTTTTTCAGTGCAATGGCGGCCTGCTCGTGTGTAGCGTTCCTGAGATCCACGCCATTGACCTGAGGAAGGAGGCAAGCAAGAGACAGCGTTAGTTGGGGCTAACTCAGTGATTCCCAAAGTCAGGTCATCCAGGGGTTTTGGACTTCAGCACCCAGAAGCCTCGGTCATCTTGTCCCATGATCTGAGATTCTGGGAGCTGAAGTCCAAAACACCCGGAAGGCCAGAGTTTGGGAAGCACTGGAACCGTTAGGCCAGGGGTAGGCAACCTTTTTGAGCCAGGGGCCGGGTTGCTATCCTTCAGACAATTGGAGGACTGAAGCACCAAAAACAAATAAATAAATAAATAAATAAATTTAATTTAATTTTAAAAAAATAAAAAAATATGCATGCACACTCTCTCAGCCCCAGAAAAGCCATGGCAAAACCCCTGTGGAGATTTTGCCAAGAAAACCCCAAGAACAAGTAATAACAACAATAATCAATATCATCATGACGGGCGGCGGCAGGACCGTCCTGGGGCCGGTCCAAAGGCCTCGGGGGGCCGCATCTGGCCTCCGGGCCTTAGGTTGCCTACCCCTACGTTAGGTCAACACCAATGGCCTTTTCCCACCAGCAGGATCCGGGACGGGAGAGGAGGCTCCGTCTTACCGAGAGGATCTGGTCCCCTTTCCGCAGCTCCCCACTGAGGTCAGCCGGTCCTCCGGCCAGAATGAAGGAGATGAAAATCCCCTCACCGTCTTCGCCCCCCACAATGTTGAAGCCCAGCCCCGTTGAGCCACGGTGGATGACGATCCGGCGAGGTTCCCTGGACAAGGAAAGCGAGGTTAGAAAATATCCGAAGTGGAAGCGGTGGGTGGTGGGCATCTTCTGACTTCTCAAAGGACCACAAGGTGGACATTCCCCACTTAAGAAGGATAGATGCCTTCCCCTTTAGGGTCCATACAGTGCCAATGCCAGTGTCATTCCAGCAAGTCAAAATATGACTTTTGATTAAAGCCTTCGGGAACCTAATTGATGTTATCCAATTTGCACACATGTGACGGCTGGCATGATTTTACGTTGCTTTAACTGGCTTTAAATTGTCTGGTTTTAAGGGAGATTTTTCTTAGTCTTCTAGAATTATTGCTATAGGTTGAGTCCCTCATATCCAAAATGCTTGGGACTGGAAGTACTTTGAATTATGGATTTTTTCTTGTATTTTGGAATATTTGCAAGCACATATCTTAAAGATGGGCCCCAGGTCTAAACAAATTTTTCGTACACACCTGACACACATAGCCTGAAGGCAATTTCTTACACAATGCTTTAACAATTTTGCACATGAAACAATGTTTCTGTACATCAAACCCTCAGAAACCAAAGCTGTTACTCTCTCAGCCATTTTTTGGATTTTGGAGTATTTCAAAATTTGGATTTCTGGATAAGGGATACTCAACCTGCATTGTTATTTATTGACCTAAACTGATTTTATATCTTGAGATTTTCAGCTATATGGTGGGATATATATGTATGTGTGTGTTTATTAATACTGTAATAATTTAATTCTAGTTTAATGTTCTCTTTTGTATGTTTTTAATTGTACTATTTTTTAAAAAAAGAATCGTAAACCCCTCTGAGTCTGAATTTTGGGGGGAAAGCAGGATGATGATGATGATGATGATGGTGTGTGTATATTGTAATAAATAAGAAAATAAATAAATAAATAAAATAGTGTTAAGCCAAGCCAGAACTTGAAAAAAAAATTATATGGATGAAAATTTGCAGAATTTTCCAGAAAACAGCATGGCCAGCTGTAGACTGAAAAAAGGAACATTTCCAAGTTCTAAGTTAGATCAGGAATGATGGAGGATAAGCAGATTTAGGTGAGGTGATGGAGAAAAATACACTCCACAGGCTCATCATATTTCCTTGAGACAAAAACGGGACATTGGGACGGCAAAAACGGGATAGGGCTATGTCATATTCCATTTTCATGAAAAAGACATTAACAACAGTTTTCCTACATGAACTTTTTGAGCTAACAAGTATACTTCAGTGAGAGAACTCATACAAAAATGTAGGCAGATGTTGAGGGGGTCTGTATTTCACCATGATCGAAAATTTCTCACTGAAGTAATCTTACAGAACAATTTTCGGTCTTTCAACATATTACCATCAAACTTCTCACAGTCCATGACACAATTTTATGGTTGTTTTTTTTTTGTTTGTTTGTTTGGTTGTTTTTTTGACAACCACAATTTTGAACAGGGATATCTTCAAACCATTTTTGTAACATAACAAGGTATTTCCTTTGAAAATGGGACAAAATTGACAATCATATTAAATGATATTTATATTAAATAACATTTATATTAAAATGATGGGAAGGACTGGAAATATTTTCATAAACGGCACTGTGCCATTTAAAATGGTATGGATGGTCAAGCCTAGCACTCCACCACTTCGCATCCAGGAAAAGGAGCCAATATGGCAGACTGGGATGGCCACACCCCGAGAGGGAGGAGCCAAGTGCCAGAGGGAGGAGCCATGGGCAGGTGAGGGGCGGGGCTTACCTGGGTATATCCTCCTCTCCCATCAGCTCCTTGGGGATGGGAGAGTACCTCCGAGGCGAGGTCGGGGTCATGGCTTGTGGATAATCCGTGCCCAAGTAGCTCTGGTGACCGATTTCATTGTCCAGATGTTGGGAGTAGGCTGCCAAATAAATAAAACACGTCAAATTGGAGAGGAAAGGAAAAATGTAATTGCAAAATCAAAGGGCTGAAATGCCATTTTGGTTAAATTTGGACATTCTCATTAGTACAGTGGGCCCTCCACATTTGCTGGGGTTAGGAATGCAGGACCCTAGTGAAAGTGGGAAAACAGCAAATGAAAAAACACAAGTTATTTTACCTGAGCAAACACCACTCTGGGAATCTCTAGGTCCTCCAATGCAACCCTATGGTCAACATCTGTCAAATGCTGACCACAGGATTGGGAAAGGATGTAGAAATGCCTAGAGAAATGTTCTCTCTAGGTCCTCCATCCTCTTCTGGCAGATGTTGACCACAGAGTCATGCTGGAACACCTAGAGATTCCTAGAGAGAACAGATTACAGCCGCCCCTCGTTTTTGGCAGACTTGGAGTCCGCATCCCTCGGCCGTTTGTGGGCAGAAAATGGAGGGGGACAAAATGGGGTGCGCTCCTGCGGGCACCCAGGGGCGTGCGCCACTATTTAAGCCAATGGGGTGTGAATATTGGCAATTTTCCATTTTTGTGGGGTGGGTGGGTGAGTGGGTTCCAGAACGGATCCCGCATGAAAATGGAGGGGCAACTGTAATCAAATCCATGAATAATCAAATTGCAAAAGTCACAGCCACCTATGAGGAGGGCTGATTGCGCATACAAATTCATGCTTTTTAACCATGCTCAAAATGGAAGACATTTTGGAATTCCTCCGGGACAGAAGGCTGGAAAAGGAGGATGTCTGGTCACTCATCTCGAAAAACGTGCGCAGGAAGTGGGAACCACTCACAGGAAGTGATGTCGGGCGGGGCGTAGGAATCGTTCAGGTAAACGTTTGTGGGCTTGGCCACTTTCAGGTAGACAACGTCGTACGTGTTCTTCAGGGCGGCCACGGCGTCTTCGTGCATCACGTCTTCTAGGCTCACATTGTTGACCTGTTTGGAGGGGGACACAGAAATGGGGAGACGCACCATTAACCCCATTCTTCTGCAATGAACCCCCGAAAATATGAGCTACAAAAACTTTTCTATTTGGATGGGCATTTGAAGAGTAATGATATAAAGTTCATCTGACACAATGCGCTGGATATTGATAATTGTTGTGTTGGAGTGTGCATGTTTTAATGATAAATTCCTTTAACCTGGTTTTAATTTCTTCTGATTGTTTAATTGTGTTTTAATTTTTGTATCTTGTAGATTTTTAACAATGAGTGTTGGGTTTTTTTTAATTATTGTAAATTGCTTTGAATCCCAATCTGGGAAAAAGGTGGGACAAAAACAAATACATAAAATTGTTGTTGTTGTTTATTATATCATAAAACAACAACAACAACAACAACAACAACCACCAAGATGGTATAGTGGCTTGAGTGTTGGACTACAACACTAGTCATTGGGTTCGATTCCCTATACAGCCATGGAAAGCCACTGGGTGACATATGGTAGTCACACACTCTCAGCCACAGAAAACCCCTTCATCAGTTTGCCTTAAGGTCACCATAAGTCAGAAATGGCTTGAGGGCACACAACAACTAATAATAATAGAAAGCAAGGAAATTCCTTGGGGGCCAAATATTCCTGAGCAGATCAGGACCAATGCTCTCGGAGGCCAGCCTTGTTCTTCTGATGTGTTGGACTGCAGGACTCATCATCCTCAGCCAGCAGACCCATGGGCCTGCTGGCTGGGGGTGATGGGTGTTGCAATCCAACACACTGAGGCAAAGCAACCAGGAGTCTCTGGCTAGTTTCTCTTAAGGAATATTGAATCTTACGAGTCCGTTCCACTAAATTTGTGTCTTCTTGCATGGCAGAATGGGGTTGGACTGGTTGGTTCTTGGAGTCTCTAGGATTCCATGATTCTCTTCTTTGTTGGCCCCTGACTAGCAGTGAAGGCTATAAGGGATGAGAGCCTCCAAGCCCCTCTGCGTGGCATCAGGTCTGTTTCTCCCACCTGCCCCAAACCTTACCGCCAAAATCTTATCCCCGATCTGCAAGCGTCCATCCTTGTGGGCTGCACCACCCTCAATGATTTTGGTGACATAGATGCTGTTGTCGCCAGGGATGTGCTGGTTGCCCACGCCGCCTGCGATGCTGAAACCCAGACC